TTGCTGGTTTTGGATGTGGTCCTGGCCCCTATGAAGCCCTTATTGAATTCAATTAAATTTAATACAAATCGTGGAATCCTAGATTCCTGGTTTTTTAATGGAGTCTGGTCCATTTAAATCTCTTATAGAATTTGATTAGAATTAATACGAAAATCCTGGAATACAGGATTCCTGATTTTGGACTGGCTGCTGGTCTATATAATTCTTCATATAAAGCCAATCAGATTCAATATGGAAATCCTGAATTGAATATATGAATATGGGAATCCTGGAGTCCTGGGCTACTGATTTATTTTGGATGTGGTCCTGTTTCATACAAATTCTCTTAAACCCAATTAGATTTAGTACGAAAATCGTGGAATCCTAAATTCCTGGTTATGGAATGGATTCTGGTACATTTAAATCCCGTATACAATTTATTTAGAGTTAATACGAAAATCCTAGATAGGATGCTTGTTTCTATAAATCTCTTTTTATAAATCTAATTAGATTAAATACGGAAGTTCTGGAATCCTTTAAGTATTATAATCATCTGATGAGGCCACTTCTCTGTTGGACTCACCAAAGACTAAGGAAAACTAAAAAAAACAAAAAAAAACTTTTTTAGGAACTATGATGGATGTTGAAAAAGTTGTTTTTTTTAGTTTTCCTAAGGAAAAAGATATTTTTTCTTGAAAAAACCAACTTTTCCTTAGGAAAAAGTTGGTTTTTCAGAAGCCTGTGCTCCGAAAACCAACTTTTTCCTAGGAAAAAGTTGGTTTTTCACAAAAATATCCAAGCCATGGATCGTAAAAAACAACTTTTCCTTAGGAAAATCGTCGCCTGGTACCGGAAATGCCCATGCTACTATTGACAGAGGAAATCTTGCACCACCTTAAGTCCTCAAAGTCCCAGGAATTACAGTAGTTTAGGCCCCCAAGGTAGTACAAGATTTCATCCATCAACAGTAGTTCTGCACCCTAAACCCTAAAACAGCTGGCCTTGACCTGCGCAAGCGACTTCTTGGTCCATTCCCGAGGGACAGCCTCGGAATTAGGGACCCTAAATAAGCCACATCCCTAGATAAAAGGCGTGAATTCTAAAAGGTTTGCAACTACTCAGGCCAAAACTCCTAAGCCCTAAACCCTAAATCCTAAGCCCTGGGCCGTAAATCCTGGGTCCTAAACCCTGAACCCCAAACACCCAACACCAAACCCTAAACCCTAAAAATTAAACCTTAACCGTAGGTTTTCCCTGAACCGCAGACACGATTTGGTGTGTGAACTGCTTGCCAGGTAGCTGGGGGAGGGCCAGGCCTTCTGCAACAGATGAGGTTTAGGGGGCTTAGGGGGCTTAGGGGGTTTTGGGGCTTGAGGGGGTTGAGGGGGTTCAGGAGGTTCAGGCGGTTTAGGGGGTTTGGGGGGTTTAGGAGGATTTGGGGGGTTTGGGAGGGTTTGGGGTGTAGGGTTTATGGGTTTTAGGGGGTTTTGGGGCTTGAGGGGGTTCAGGCGGTTTAGAGGGTTTAGGGTTTAAGCGGTTTTAGAGGTTTAGGGGATTTAGAGGGTTTGGGTTTAGGGTTTAGGGGTTACAGCTCGAAGGCATATTCGGCAGCGCTTATAGGGTGTTGGCCAATTTGTGCGTGATTGCAATTACCAATAAGTCGTGTTACAAGTACCCCATCGACCATAAAGTAACAGTCCGGGTTTACGGGAACGCCATTTTGCTGTACTTGCTGTGGTCGGGGCATTCAAGGTGATGCAGGGTTCTGCCGCTCATCAACCCGATGCCCCTGTTTCGGAGGTCCTTCTCGCAAGATTCCTGGTACATAAACACATGTGTAAGATGTTAGATGTTTGCACATCTTTCCTCGCGTAAGGTACAATTCAGGCTGTACCCTAAACCGTAGCCCCGAATCCCTAAACCCTGATGGGGATTCAAAACCCTTCCGCACGGAAATCAAGGAAAAACAAGTCAATGCCGATGAGATATAGGGGGTTGTTAATGTTCTGGGTGCTTTTTGAACCTCCTATATAGTACAGGTCCCTATTGATTGGGGCACACAGGAGGTGACCATAATGCTGAGAACCCGCATGTAGGCGTTCTCTCGCCGCATCGAGATGGGGAATATCTGGGCCTGCGAGGAGCCCTCAAACCTTTTCAGCAGGGTGCTGCATAGGGTTTTTAGGGTTTAGGGTTTAGGGCTTAGGGTTTAGGGTGGAGCACATTGAATCAGTGAAAATTGGACTGTAAGACCATTGCAGCACTGTAGTACTTCACAAAAGTGACCCTTGCTTACTGCCGAAAGGAGTCCAACAAACCTAAGCCATAAACCCCACACCCGATAATTACATATGACTTAAACCCTAAACCCAAAAGAGTCCACATTCCTCAACCTTAAACCCGAACCCCCAAGCCCAAGATCCTCTCTGGCCTCTGGGACAGCTGCGACAATGCCCGCTTCATGGCGCAGCAGTGCAGAGGTGGCCATGGTCGGGAGCCGAGGAGAAGAAGGTTCAGGGACTGTCACGTCTGGATGCCGCGTTTTGTCGGCAGCAAAACTGTGGACTATAGTTTTTGCAGATAAGCTGACCCTAGATTTGAGAATCTCCCATATGCTTGCAGTATAAAACAGGCCTCTCGGCCGGAAGATGTCACGTCCGTATCAAGTCCTCATAGAAATACTTACCCCATGCAGGGTGCGTAAATTCTGGAGAGTGGTCTGCCCAAATGAGGTGACAAGGATGAACAAAAGGCTGATGGCATCCCAAGGGGATTTCGGGATAAGGGTTGAGGGTTTAGGGTTCTATCGAGATAATGGAAAAGAAAATAAAAACTACTATTTAGGGTCTAGGGTTTGGGGTTTAGGGTTGAGGGCTTAGGGTTGAGCGCGCTTGCGGAGAATCTTGATGGCTGGTTGTTGCAAAGCATCGAATTGGCAAATCTTTCTGATTACTTAAAATGACCCTTTACCTTCGGACAGCTGCAGACAGCCAGGGCGCAGTCAAATGCTTAGGATGGAAACCCTAAACCCTAAACCCTAACAGGTCACTGGCCGGCTCACTGCTGGGATCCTTATCCCCGAAACCCTAAACCCTAAACGCTAAACCCTAATCCCTAAACCCTAGTCCCCTGAACCTAAACCCTTAAAGGCGTCCTCAAGCTCCCACCTCCTCTTTCAATGGAGGATCAGGGGGGCTTATTAGGTAGGTTAATGATGGGGATAGCTAGGGTTTCTATATGGGTTGTCAGGGTATCTACCTACTTGCTAAGTCCCCCTGAACCTCCAAGCAGCAGCTTCTGTGTCGCCAAAGTAAATTAGCTACTGCACTATGCTTGCCAGGCGTAGGTGGCTCCTTTTGAGACGGCTACTTCTCCACCTAGCCATCTAACATCGCGAGAGGCGGGCCTACAATAGTAAACCTGAAACCCTACCTAAACCCTAGGCATGACACCCCTGCATGATAGATCCAAGATGATAGTCACTATTACAAGGTGAGGGGTCCACCTGATATCTAGGGTTCCATGTTGCAGGTTTCTGAAAACATGGATACTGCCCAAGACCTCGGTCTTATGTCAAGCTCCTGTAGGGAGCATGGGGGGGATCCCCCGCGCAGGGCTTGTCATGAGTGATGTTCAGACCCTAAACCCTAAACCTTAAACCCCCGCCTACCCGTCAAGAACTGCAATCTTCATTCTGCCTAACCCTTGATAGATACCCAATTGGGTGGTTGTCAAATTTATGGTCCCTTGTTGGGTTCCTATTATAATACGGCACCTAATATTTAGGGTGCCCAAAAAGGACCACAATGTCCACAACCATCCAAATCGAACCCTGCTTGCCAAGTACCGCTGGCACTCCAAAACAAATTGGGGACTCGGCGCTTGTTTCTGAAGCAAACGGGGCTCTCACACAACATGTGGAGCAGCTTGTCACAAGGAGGACACGCTTCAGGCACTATGCGTTGTTTGATAATGGGATGTGTTATCGAAGAATGTTTTATGAACCACTGTTGACACTCAATTGACCTGTACCCCCGAAGGCATGCATGCTGGATACTCTAAGCAGTCCAGCGAAAGCGTTATCGCTTCGTGACCTCCATCTCATACTTGTCTCCAAGGATGCGAATTGGTATCGTCACCCACCCTGGCGGAGAAGACTCACCAGTCATCCTGCTAGAAGTAGATAAGAGCTTGTAGAAGCCCCATGACATAGCTTCTGGGTAGCTCAAAACAGCCCATACAACCCGAACCTTGGGAAAGAGGGGCAAAAGCAACGGCCCTCTTCTAATGAATGCAGAGGGCTAAGAACAGCGCAGACATCCACAAGCCCAGTTGAAAAGCTCAAAAAAAAAGTACACGCAAGAATGAGGGTCCATGGCTGGAATGCATGCAGGGCTTCCTCATGATCAGACGGTTCCTTCTCCGGAGGTCCACAGGTACCTCTACCCTATTAAGATTCGAGCAATAATCCAAGTACAACAAAAGTTGGGATCACAGGCCGTCTCACAAGAGTGACATAGCAGCAAAATTGTGGACCCCATGCCTTCAATCTCCGCACCCCTAAACTCTATAGTCCCCCTTAAGTAGATAGAATATGCTTGTGGGTATATTGTAATAAGATCCCCACATGCCCCATATTCTAGCTACTTAAGGGGGACTAAGACACTACACAACACAGCCAACCTCACAAAGCCCTATACCCTAAACCCCGCAACCCAAATCACCAAAACACCAAAACAACAAAACAAAAACACCTCTTCCCCGAGCTCGAGCCTTCCTTGCCTTTGCTGGCGCTCGTTGGCTGCCAGTTTTTGAAGCGCTGAACGAAATCCGCTAAGAAGACCTGCACATACTACCCGGGCCATGTAGGGGTCATATTGGGACTATATAGGGCCTAGGCAAAATACCCCAGCAATCAAGAATCAAATGAAAAAGCAAATGGAAAAAGTTTGCATAAACTGAGGTTTTGTAAGGGTTTATGGGGTTGACACTAAAATCCTGCATGACTTCAACAAATTGTACTAGAGCTTCCAATGTTTGAGGCAGTTTAAGCCCTAAACCCTAAACCCTAAAAGCTTAAGCCAGTCAGGATTCCTAGAGGACATCCTGGAGGACTTCACGTACATGTAATTACAGTGGACAGCGCATGGGCTCTGCAGGCGTTTCCCTGCGTGAAATCTTTCAGAGGGTGTGCTCTGTACTGAGGAGCTGAATATCACTATCACATAAACTTTCTCAAAACTTTTCGAAATCCTGCCAATATGCTAACCCTAAACCCTAAACCCTAAACCCAGTATTATAGAGGAGAAAAGGGGCACATTGTGCCACCTCAACAGTTTTAAAGATGTACAACAAGAACTTCCAACCATCAGTGGCTTTCTGGTGCCCCAGGCCGGTTTAGGGTTTAAGGTTTAGGGATTAGGGTTTAGGTTTAGGGATTGGGTGTATTTTGTCAACGGGTGGCACAGCTCAAGCAGTCTCAGGTCACGGACATGCGAATTGCAACTCGACAGCTCAAAAAAGCAAGTCAAGTCAGCATACTACACCCTGAGCACTCCTACATACATAAGCCCCAAACCCACGCCATAGCCAATGACCCTACACCCATATTCATTCCTAAACCCTAAGACCCTAAGACCCTCCCTTGGCGTCTCTCCACGCTGGAGACTTCGAGCGCCTCACAGATAGACCCCTGACCATGGATCTGAAATCTGCAGTACACTCACGGTGGTACAAACTGCGTGCTCCAAAAACATCCTCAACCCCTACACGATTCATCCTTTGAAAATGCATTTCTGAAGGCGCGATCTTGCTACCATGTCCTTAGCGCAATGCCGCCGGGCCTACAGTTCCCTAAGGTTCCCGAGTACCCCCCCCCCCTTTCTGAACCTATCCCCCTTAAGAACACGGTGATCCTAAACCCCTAAACCCTAAACCCTCAAGCCCAGGATAACTGGAAATTGTATAGGGACAAATATACCCAAGGTTGAAACAAAACACCGGTCAAAGTTGCTCATAACTCTGGACGCGAACCCTACCAAACCTTAAACCCTAAACCCTCAAGCCCAGGATGAATGGAAATTGTGTAGGGCCAAATATACCCAAGGTTGAGATAACAAAAAAACTCAAAAGTCGATCAAAACTGCGGACGCGAACCCTATGCAACCCTAAACCCTCAAGCCCAGGATAAATAGCAACTGTGTAGGGCCAAATTTACACAATGTCAAAACCAGAAAAACGGTCAAAAGTCGCTCAAAACTCCGGACGCGAACCATACATAATATAGTAGCTTCCATTTTCTTTTCCATTATCCTCATAACCCCTATATTACCCCTATGTAACCCTATATAAGATGGCAAATCATCCCTTGGCAAATCCTAAGTCCTAAGCCCCAAACCCCAAACCCCCGAAACCCTAAACCCCAAACCCTGAGCCCTAAACCCTAAACCCCAAACCCTAAACCCTAAACTGTGAAGCATACGGTGACTG